CCCCATAATCCCAGGCTCACTTCGTGAGGTACTAAACGAAGCTCCCACACGGGGAGCTTTCGTGATAATAATAACAAATGACAACTCATAATAAACTATAAATACTGATAAACAATAATACTGAGCAATGAGAATAACAGTAGTAGCTACTCAGACATCACAAGCAGATGATTCGCTCCTCAATATGCCTTATAACATGGACACACATGTTTACAGATACATGTATGTATATATACACACATATAAATATAAATATATATGTATTATCTGTGTGTATCCCAATTTGCCGTGCGCTCTTGTTCAACCATGTGAGCTTGTCCAGTAGCGGAAGTTTGTGCCTCCAAGGCCGTCACGGTCCTGCCATACATCAGACACACCAGCTGCCATCGTGACAGGTATGCGGTGGCGCACTGCGCCTCTTGCGATTGCCATATTAGCCATACTCCTTAGAACTGCCGAAAACAGAACTGCATGTCCTTTGTGAAGAGCTTCTTGTAAACATCGCTCTCCTTTGTGGCGTCCTTGGGAGCTTTGGCCTGCTCAGAAGCACCATTGAAGGACTGCTGAGGGTTCAGGGTGTGGGTTCACGGGTCCTAGGAGGGCGGCCCTAGTGGAAGGGGCGCAACACAATAGAGTCCAATAGAGCAGAAAGGAGACCCAGCCTAAGCAGTGCATACGACCTCCCGTGTGGTCATCCGTGCGACTCATCATCACTCAGAGATTGATTGCTGCTTTGCATTCTGAAGCCGGTATGAAGATTGAGGCAAGACAGCTGTCGCTTGCAAACTATATGGACAACTTCAAAATCTTGTTTCAAGCCCAAGCGGTTGCAAAAGCTTGTCGCCTCCGGCTTGGAAGGCTCTTCCTGGCATGCGGCGGATGGCTCTGAGTTGACATCTAACTCCATGGGACGTTTGCCATCCGTAGAGCAGTGCTCAAGGTCTAGGTGTGTGGCAGGGGTGTGCCATCCAAGTTTTCAGGACAGAAGACCTACACAGCTTCTTGCAAAGCTGCCTGATTTAAAGGACAGAGCCGTCAGCAGCTGCTGTAGGAGCTCTTATGCTTGGAGCTGCCTCTTCTGCCTCTGCAGGAGCAGCCACGGCCTGGCGGCTTGCAGCGTGCTCAGCACGCTCCAAAGTGTATAGTCCCCCTTCAGTAGATAGAATATGGCTTTGGGTATATCATAATAAGATCCCCATATACCCCATATTCTATCTACTTAAGGGGGACTATAGTTGGGTATAGTTGGGTCGAGCTAAGCATTGCAGCCTGCATCCCCAGCCCCTTCCCATCGCACCTGCGCTTTTCGCTTCTTTGTGGGCAAGCGCTCCCGGAGCTTCTTCAGCTCCTGTTGTTGCTTTGAAGCCGCAGCTTCAGTGACATGTACTCGCGTGACACAGCATCCTCAAAAGTCCACAGCAACTTTGAACCCGACACTTCAGAAACATCAAAATAAAAATAAAAGTAATAAGAATAATGGTAATGGTACTAACAATGATAATAGTAAAACTAATAGCAATAACAATGGCAATATTAATAGAACACTATATTATACCGCTTTGTTGCATGGCCTCGCCATCCGGGGCTAAGGGAATGACATCCTGCAGAGGCTTGGCAGGCAATAGGGTTTTTCCCAAAACAGGGGGTACCGTTTTTGGTGTCCCTATCATGGTAATATTGGGGTAATGTTGGGGTAATATCAGGGTTGTATTGGGGTTATATTGAGGTTATTTTAGAGTCCATATTGGGGCCCCCTTATCTAGGAAACCACCCATGGACTTCAGACGGCGGAATTCTTCTCTCCAGGCCTTGTCCGCGTCAAACGGCTTGGAGGTCAACGGGCACTCCTCGCAACATCATGCAGAAGGGACATAGGTACCCATTGGGTGGTAATATTGGGGTTCTATTGGGGTTGTATTGGGAGCATGGGAAAGAAAATGGAAACTACTTTGAATGGCTTAGTTTGATGAGCCATCAGTCCGACAGAAGATTGCTGGCGAAACTTCACACGGCAATTAAGGAGGTCAAACGACATGGCGAGGTGTCAACTAATGAGGGGCAAAGACGGTAGCAAGTGCAGCAATCCGAGAGTGAGCCTTCATCTTCATCTCTTTCAAGCTCTTTGCCGAGATCACGGCCCCGCTTGGCCATATGAGCACCTGATGTTCAAACCGGGCTGTGGCAGAGAGACCTCTCACATTTCAGAGATCCAGCCAACCCAATGTAGATTGGGCTGGAGATAGAATCTCGGTATCATTCTGACTGCTCCTGGCATGTTCTTCTCCATCTGAATTCAGCCACACATCCCTACCCTGAGTGCTGCCCTGAGCTGCAGGCAGCGCGGCTGCTGCCCGAATCCAGGTCCTCCCGTGAAACCGGGCAAACCTGCAAGTGGTAGTTTCCCAAAATAGCCGGATCCCAATATAGACCCCCGCAATACTATAATCCTCATTTATGGGGACCCCCAAAAAGGTAGCCCTAATTTTGGGGAACTCCCAAGTTGGACACAAGGTTCAATTTGCTGGACTTCCGCTGCAGCCATCTTATAAGGCTGGAGCCATTCGCTTCTGTCCTTCCTCCTTCTCTGCCTCCGCCCATGTGACCATGCACCTGGCAAACAAGCAGGATTTCTGGATGGCCAGCATCGGTTAGCGGGTCTTGCAAAGATTCACATGACGAGACACATGTACACCACAACACACAACGTCGTCTTGCGAACTCGCAGTGCCATTCGCCCCTGGCGGCCCCCTTCTTGGGTCTGTCTGAGAACCGGACTGCTTGACATCCTGCCAGGAGTCTGGGTGACGAAACGTTTGTGAAAGATGGGCATGGCTAAGACAGGGTTACGTGGATCCGTAACTGAGAGATGAATTAAGCGCAAAGGTTCGTTTTGTGTGCTGGCTCTTCACCATTCACTATATCTGTCATAGTGGCATTGCCACAAAGCAGTTCAGGTCGCAAAATACGTGTAATATTATACACCCCTATATTATACCCGTAAATAGTAGTTTCCATTGTCTTTTCCATTATCCCTATAGAACCCCAATATACTACAGTAGTTTCCATTTTCTTTTCCATTATCCCTACCCTAAACCCTATAAACCCTAAGCCCTAAGCCCTAAGCCCTATACTATAGTAGTTTCCATTTTCTTTTCCATTATCCCTACCCTAAACCCTAAACCCTAAGCCCTAAGCCCTAATTAAGCCCTATACTATAGTAGTTTCCACTTTCTTTTCCATTATCCCTATAATATTATACCCCCATAATTCGCGTTGCTTATTCATTCAAAGCTGGGCTCATGCTACGAGCGCCGGCGACAGAACAGATCGAGCCACACGGTTTAGGGTTTAGGGTTTAGGGCCCAAGTTCTGGGCACCGTCTACCCGAGCTGTTCTATGGCCAGCATGGGGATTCGACGAGATTCGGACCGGTTCCTTGAGATTTGGAAGACTCAAGTCAGTAGGCTGAAGAAATCAATGCCGGATTTGAAGAGTTTCACCAATGACTTGAACAAACTCGTGTAAGAAATTGGTAAGGACCCGTCATTTTTGAAGTGATTTGCGCAAATTCCGCTTGAACAATTCTGCCAAAGAAAGCAAACATATGATCTGGAAGAAGTTTGGGAAAAATGCTGGAATGAATAGTGGTCTGGGGTATGACTAGAGTCGGGCATGGTTAGAATCTTCGCAAGGGTTTCCTGGAGAACTCCCCCCAAGGGTCCAGGACCTTCCTTGTACCCTTAATTGGGGATATATGGTCCCTAATAGTGGGTACTTAGGGTCTAATAGAGGGTAGGATTCTAAGACCGCAGAGAGCATCAAACAAGGCTGGAGGAGGTTAAGCGGGAACTTGACGGGGGTTGGGAGATCTACAACAATCACAGATGCTTGCAGGGGGTTGAAGGAACACACATCGCTCTTAACATCAAACGGGATATGCAAGTGAAGAAGGACTTGCGGATTTTCGTACGGAATTGATTCATTGGCAGTCTTTCCAAGAGTCCTTGGATAAAATGCAGACTGGAAGCATTGTAGCCGGATTGGAAACCTGTAAAATTTATCAGGGTTTTCAAGATCTGCAGAGAGGACCTGGAAGAGCAAAACAATTGCTGGGTAATGAAAGACCTTCGGCCCCGAAGAAGTTTGTAGCAGAGTAAGTTAACCCTACCCCTACCCATTCCAGCGGCTGCGATTTGGGGGTGAAGGTCCGATTTCTGTTTTTCCAGCAGGGGTGCCTGCAAACGAGAAGCGTATGAGGAATGTCAGTAATGAGGATATGTCGGATCTGAAGATCTATGGTGGTCGCAGGAAGTCCTCTTGCATTCAACTTACTTGCAGGTCAACATGACAATGACGTTCTTACTCCTTTGTTGCTGTCTGCTATGCCTTCGTCGATAAACCTTCGTACACGTATGCCCACAAGACCACTTTGTCGCAAAAAGGTTCGTCGCGTGGCATAATTCTGTCACAAGCCTATGTTGTGGAGTGGCTGCACAAGCTCATCACAAGCCCAATATGTCCCCTAAACCCAAATCCCTAATCGCTATGTATCCCCATGAGTTCTATTTGCAGCCCTGTTTGAGAACGTGCGTGGTCACCAACGTTTATCAACCTTGCAAATTCAGCAGCTTCTGCCGTGTCCGCTATAGCGACGGGCACGACATATTGCCATTAGATTGATCTTACTGAGGTAAAATGGGGAATAAGGGTGTATATATAGGGTTTTAGGAATCAAGGGGCTCTATTCGCTGATATAGGGATAATGGAAAAGAAAATGGAAACCGCTACATTAGGATAGGGGATATATTGGGGTTGTTGTAGGGAACAAGGGAAATGTCTATAGGGATCATATCCTCTTGCTCCCTACTTACCCCCAGCCGGCATCGGTCCTTCAAGGCCCGAATGTGGGAAAGGTCTTCAGGCATCTTGCGATTCAGTAGGGCTGCAATCACGGCCTGCGGTCGGGGCTCACGCGGACTACGGTATATGTGTACATATATACGGTTATATAGGGATGCATAGGGTGATATAGGGCAATTTAATGCAGTTCAGGGTTATGATGGGTTATATATGCTGTCGGGATATGTGGTGGGAGTAAGCTACCTCAAAACTTGCTGCCATCGCACAACATACTTGGGCATGTGCTCATTCCATGAAAGGCAGACTCCATGGCGCGCTTCAGAATACTCCGCTCATTTAAAAAACATAGAAACAATCATCCTGGTTCCCATGAACCGTCCAGAACACCAAGCCGTGTGGATGCAGAGGCATTCTGAGAGCTTTCCACCCCGTGCAGAAAGTCCACGCGGTGGCCTCCTTGTTGTAGAGGTTGCCGAGCTTGCATGCCTAGGTCAATCTGGTGGATAGTCATCCATCCTAAGAAACAACTGCAGGAGAACCAAAGCGGCCTGTGATCTGTCTGCAGGCGCTAGCTAGGGCTTGCACCACAACCGGATCACGAAGAGCCTGATTATGCAACGTGACAGGCTACCTTCGTCCCTGCCAACATCCGGCAGAAGCGCAACAACTTCCACTAAGAAGCGGATCTACTCGCCTCAGCAAAGCAGACTAGGCAATCAAAGCCCAAAACCACAGACGTTTCTGCTGAAGACCTGTCTGGGCATCCCCTAAATAGATAGAATATGGGGTATATGGGGATCTTATTATAATATACCCAGAGCCATATTCTATCTACTTAAGGGGGACTATAAGAGTTTGATATCCCAACCCCGCCTCTTGTGAAATCATGCAGGTGCTCATGCGAACTCGATGCCTGCTGGGGAGCCATCCAACTGCTGCAGCCCTAATATTACCCCAATGGGTTCATGACTCTCTACTATAGTAGTTTCCATTTTATTTTCCATTATCCCAATATGACCTAATACAACCCCAATATTACCCCAATAACCCGAGAATATACTATAATATATCTTAATATACTATAATATACTATTATAACCCCAATATGTAATCTCTATATTCAAGTTCACAAGCACTTTTGCAAACGGGCCATGACATCTGATGAAGGGTGAACTGTCAGAGCTATCGGAGTTGACACCCAGAACCCGTGCCTTTCGAGAGTACCCAGCCCGCGATCCTTGCAGCGACAAAAGCTACCAAGAATCATAGAGCAGCCAGCACTCTGGCAATTTACCAACTTAATAGAAATACTAATGAATCGTAAGAATTGTTATTATATTATCATAGTAATACATTGTAGTACTAATTGCTACTTAAGGTGAGAGCCCATGAAAAGGAGCCCCCCTGCCTCAAAGATCATCTGGACATAGCTGTTCATCTCTCCAAGCGAGGCAGCCTCGGGTTCCACACTCCCAATGGGTTTAGGGTTTAGGGTGTAATCCCTATGTAGAATATATTTTCTTATTCTGAACTTGTATGACCCCAATATATATATCCTATTATAAATGTAGAAGATTGTAGAAGTTTCCGTTTAGAGAATTGCACTTCCAATGCGAGCTCTATGCAACAGCATGAAGCTGCACTGACACTTCTGCGGTTAGGGCATATCTGTCCCCACTTCCCTGCGCCAGGTGGTTCGCATGACACAGCTTCTGAATTGCAGGAGTATCAGCATGCCCAGGGCATCGCATGAAATGTAAACTTGACTAAGGCCGTGCAATTATCAAGCATGAAGTAGTCACTAAGTAGTCTGCGTTCAGTCCAGCAAAGGAGAAATGCCCGACACTCTTGAGAGAAGCTGGAGGCGCCTTTGTCAGACCCCATCCCTTAGTTTTGACCATGGTCGCCCGGTCGATAACCTGCCAGGCAACAAGACAATTTTCAAGCTGTGCCCGTGCTTCTTTCAGCAGTATCCGGGTGCAAACTAAACCCTAAACCCTAAACCCTGAACATCAACTGTTCTTGGTTTCTGTCCGTAGGTACTTACTAGGCTATGCTAGGCACATTACCGGAACTGCATTCTTTACATCGAGGTCCGAAGGAGTGGCCTGGCCGCCATCTCCCCCCATGATGCCCTGTCGGGTGTCCTGCGGGGTGTTTTCCTACTGACAAAGGATGCACCTTGAGCCGTAGCCTGCGATTGAATACTAGCTTTGGGCAAGGCAAAGCTTTGAGATTTTTGAGCAGCTGGGATGCGCAGGAAGTTCGTACAAGTAGCATTGCTTGGCTCTTTTCAAGGCTCTGTGTGACAGCTCAAGCATTGTGAAGCTCGGCAGCGCATGGGGTGCCCTCCCAGCCATTGAGGGCAATGCTAGGGAAACAATCCATCGATGTGCGTGAAACACCCAGCTCTGCATCAGACTTCAACCAACGTGGCCTTGACCTTGCTCACAGCTTTGCAGCTCAGCTGCTGCGCAAGATTTTTGGCTGCCAATTTTTTTTGGTTTTCGTCTTGCTGTTGTACTTGTCCTTGTTCTTGCAGGCTTGCCCCGCCTCCATGGCCTGGCGGTGCTGGCTGAGCTCAGCACGAAGGCCCCTTCTGTCCTTTGGCCTGCACCACCACGATTCATCGGGTGCCATGTACATGGCGTAGTGTCGTTTGAGCTCTTCCTCATCCTCACTGTCGTCCAGAGCCGCGTAACTGCCTGTCGCATCTGAAGTGGAGGTAGGGGACGTACTTTGGTCGCCTTCTTCCAGATGGACTCCGACCTGCTGCTCTTGGATCGTGAAGAAATCCTCCACCCTGACCACGCTCGGCTCCGGGTCATCCATCTGCACACAGTGAATGCCATCGATCCCAATCATGTAGGTGTGTGAACCAACTTTGACCATGTCACCAACCGTCATAGATGCATGGTCGATCTCGACATCGGGATCTAGGAAATCCAACGCCTCGCCATTGGGCGAGTATCGTACAGCCTGAAAGGCGACGAAAAGGTCATAGAGCCACTCGATCATGCCCGGCCCGTCCTCGACTGGGCAAGCCACCTGTCGAAGAAGCGAATGCGTCCTCTCGATTCCGACCTTTGGCTTGGCGATCTCCTTGGCCCAAAGAGCCATGGCTGCCGCGTCTGTGAAGAAGTGCGGCAACACGTTTCGGAAAAAAAGATCATTGAAGAACATTACTTCTGCGGTTCGGCACCCCTCAGGGGCCTCCTCGATCTCTGCAATGGCAGCTGAGCGGAAGACATTGACCGGAGGCCGGTGTTCGCCACGCCGGTATTTTTGGAGAGGCTCCAAGTTCGTTTCCATGAAGGTCTCCAGCAAACCATCCATTTTCATACATGTCGCGAAACTTGTCGGCATCGGCCACGGCTCCTCGGGCT